TCAAATGCAAGGATTAATATGATTATGATTATTATATCAAATGCAAGGATTATTAATATAGTTTGTGCTGTAAATTGCCATGGTTCCAGGCGCAATTAATGTTAATGTCCCTCTGCTTGTTTTATTGATGTGACGATCATGATTTGGAATATTTGTATCCAGGCAACTGAGTCAACACAGATAATGAAATACTCTGGGTAAGAGGCACATTCTCATGGAGACTAATTCAGTCCTGTAGTGTGGTTGCTAATCATTCTATCCCTTCACTGATACGAACATTGCTAGTTGTAGACATGAACACCCAGTCCAAATTGAAAAAAATATCAAAAACAAATGATACAAATTAATATTGAGAATTCACAACATCACAAGAGAGGTTCGGAGGAAGAAAGGGCTTTGGTCTATCTGATCTTATCCCATTTCTTCAGTCTAACGTCCACGCATTACTGCTTTATTCTTTTAAAATGAGTCCCAGTGTCCTGGCCTTAATTATCCTTACTGGCAACCTGTTCCTGTCGTTAATTACCCTTAAAAACACGATGGTGTCTGTTCTGCAATTTCTTTCTACAATTCTAAACCTATAATAATAATAATCCTTGCATTTGCTATAACGCCTTATCGTGTCTTCGAGACGTCTCAACGCGCTTCATAGAATATACTGCAAAGTGTATGTTTCGACTGTATGTTTTGTGAGCGAAACGTGGCAGCCAATACCTATGTCCTCTTGTTCTACTATCTGGGTACTAAGTGGAACCATAGACACTTGCCGAAAAGAAGGCCATTCGGCCCATTGTGTCTGTGTTGGCTCTTTGAAAGAGCAATCCATTCAGTTCCATTTATCTGCTCTTTCGCCTCAAGAGCTCTGCAAATTATTCCTAGGAAGAAGCATGGGTAGGGCACTTCAATAATAATAAGAACAATAAGGTGCTATATAAAATGGAAGGATTATTATACCTATTATTATATTATAATAATTAATATTAAATTATAATAATAATCCTTCCATAAGGCTTTGTATCAAATACAAGGATAATTATTATTATAATTGATTATTGTAATTGATTATTATAATAATAATAATCCTTGCATTTGATACACAGCCTTAACACGTCTTCAAAACTTCAAAAAGCGCTTCACAGAATATACTGCAAAGTTAATCTACTGGATATTTTTGCAAAATATCATTATTATCATAGGAGTGCTCCCTCCATCGAGACATAAATTAATCTCCATGTTCATGTAGAACACTTTGGTTTGGATACTCTAAAGCATGTCGATGGGTTTCCACTTATGGCAGACTGACCAAAAAAAAAATCTCTGGGGGAATGCTAGTCTGGATACCTGGAAAAAAACACTCATCTCTATTCAAATACTGGAATATGCTCTTTTAATAGTCATCTGAACTGGCAGATCAGACCGCAGATTGACAGGCTGGCGAAGTGAGTAGATCTGTGATGAATGGAGGTCAATATAGTGGAATGTGAAGCCTGTTGGGGGGAAGAATAGAAAGCGGATTTATACGCTGGGCATCAGATTACTCAATGGAGAAGAGGAGTGGAGGTTTATTTCCAGTGCGTGTTCAAAGCAGTCGGTGTCTGCCTGGCTCGGGTTAGTAGCACTCTTGCCTCTGAGTCAGAAGGTTGTGGTTTCGAATCCCACATTGGGGCTTCTCGCACACAGTCTTGGCTGACACACCAGTGCAGTGGTGTGGGTGCACTGTATTATTGGAGGTACTGATGAGATGTTAAACTGAGGTCCCATCTGCCGAGTGGACGTTAAAGATCCCAAAGCACAGCTGGGAAAGAGAAGTGAGTTTCTCTCTCCCGGTGTCCTGGCCATCAATCCCCCAGATATAATTGGTCATTAACCTCATGGCTATATGTGGCACATTGCTGCATGCAAAATTGCCTGTCACTTTTGCCTACAAAATACACAGACATCCTCCCCAATGTGAAAATGTACAATAGGAAGGTGCCAGGGTGGAAGGGATTCGTAGACGAGGGATCTTGAAATTGATCTGTTCCGTGATAATGGAGCCTGGTGGGGACTGGTGTGAGGGAGGTATGGAGTTTAGTGTGGGTGTGTATTCACACACACGCACACCCATAAGTGAAGGACCTCAAAGTAAAGCAAGACATTGAAGAGGGGGGAAAAAAAGGGAGGCAGACATTTCCTGATTACAAATGGCAATCTGTAAGTGAGGACTGCAACAAAATCGAACGACTCATTGCTAATGGCCCTCGAGGACATGGTGAAAGGTCCATAGCGATTTTTCTTGATAACAGTCAGAGATGAGCATAAAGCAGATAAAATAGACACACAGTAATTATGTTTTCAAACTTAGTCTTTTCTAACGATGAACTGTAATCTTCCCCGTGCATCAATAATAAAATAAGAATGCAGTTTGATCGTAATGTCCATCATACTTGGGTCAAGTTACTGCGAAGTGTAGTGATCATTAGGTACACAGATGCGAAGGTTAATGTACCACAATGACTAGACAAATTACCAATTAATTTGTGAATTTCTGTGGGTGAATGGATACTAATCGTCACAACAATAATTATAATCCTTGCATTTGATATTGCAAATTTCACATCACGAGGATGACTCAGAGTGCTTCACAGGATTACTATGAAGTGGAGTGACTGTGTATTTTGTAGGTGAACGTGGCGGCCAATTTGCGCACAGCAAATTTCTATAAAAGGCCATGAAGTGAATGACCAATCATATCTGGGGGATTTTCATCCTTGCATTTGTTGTATCATCGAGATGTCTCAAAGCACTTCACAGGATATACAGTAAAATGGATTGACTGTGCATTTTGTGGGCGAAGTGTATGACCAATTTTATCAGGGGGATTTTCATCCTTGTATTTGGTGTAGCGCCATGTCGTGTCATCGAGACGTCTCAAAGCGCTTCACAGGATATACTGTAAAGAGGATTGAATATGGCGGAATATGAACAAGTCGTGCTCTGTCACTGTCAAGCGCTCTGGGACGCTGCCCTGGGTGAGAGGCTCTGTATAAATGCAAGTTGTTGTTGTTGTTGTTGAATATGTATTTACTGGGCAACGTGTATTTTGTTGGTCAGGACGTCGAGAGAAATCTCTTTTCAAGCACCACGGGATCTTTAATGTCCAGCTAACGGGTAGAAAGGACCACGTTTAATGTCTCATCCGAAGGACGACACCTCTGACAATACGGCCCTATCCCTTGCAGATTGTGCTGAGAGCTGGTGAAGACGCAATGGGCTGATGGTTTCACTCTACACTGTAAATTTTCTATTCTTGCTGTACATCTGTATTCCGAGATCTGTCTAAATGTAAAGCCTTGCTGTTGATTATCCTGCCTAATATTCCTTTCCTCATCCCCAAATGAATTGGCTACTTATCTCATTGTTTGTCGTACGTCACTGGTACAGATGAGCTGCTGCCTTTGCCTGTACAACAGCAATTCAGTTTCATTCCCAATCAATTATACTTTGTCAAGTGCTTCGAGACGTGAAAGGTTCTAGATAAGTGCAGGCTATTATTGTTATTATTATTAATAATAATTAGTGCCAGGAGATCTTTAACATCCACCTAAACTAACAGATGACAGCTAACATCTTTCAAAATAATCCTTGATTTGATATAATGCCTTAACACATGATGTCTTAAAGTGATTCGGATGATATGCAGTGAAGTGGTTCGACTATTTTTTGGCGGGCGAAACGCTGCAGCCAGTGGCGCACAGCAGTGTCCCAAACCTAGAGTGAATGATCGATTGATTTTATTTGGAGGATCGTTGACTAAGACACCAGGAGAAACTCCCTTCTCTTTTCAAATAGCGCCATTGAATCTTTAACCCCCACCTGAACAGGGACGGGATCTTGGTTTAACATTTCATCTGAAGGACAATGCAACCCCCCACCCCCAGTGCTGCACTGGGGTGTCAGCTTAGACCCCAGTGCAGTCCTGAGACTTTGGGACAACAACAACTTGCACTTATATAGCGCCCTCCATGCTGGTAAGCGTCTCAGAGCTTAACAATGGTGGAGCCCAAGGCCAAGCCAGAGGGAGGGGGGAAGTGACCGTAGGCGAGGTCGAAAAGCAAAGTCTTCAGGCCCAACCTCAAGATGGGGAAGGAGGGGACGAGGTGAAGGGGTTACCATCCCAGGTGCGATGAGACAGAGTTAGTTTTCACAACAGGAGCTCAGACAACTCTTTCTGTTATTCTGAGTGTCCCCCTCCTACAGAAGGGTCTTTTACACGGATTGCGTAAAGCACAGGTCTAGATTTTACTCTATGCAGCCCTGCTGGAATGTCTGCAATTTGTTCAATTCATTCTTAACTCGGAAGTCGTTTTGTAAAAGACGCTTACAGGAAAACCGGTTTCAAAATCAAGGCTACATTCAAGACCATAGAATGTACGCAAAGTCCACGCAACTCACACAATAAACCCCAAAATTTATACATTATCCACACACAACCACATAATGGACCCCAATATTTTCACAGAGTTTATACATTTTGCACTGTAGACGCTAATATTTAGACATGGTCTCATAATAGAGCAAATGGTTCACACGCACAACTCGCATAACAGCCGCTAGAGTTTACACACCGTCTCCATGGCCTGCATTACAGACCACAGGGTTTACACAAGCTCTGCACAACTTGAAAAACACAGACCCCAATATTAACTCATGATCCACACCGCCCTCACAATGAATCACAGTCGGAATCCGAGCAACGCTCAAAAGTCCCTTCAGAACAGCTCAGCAAAGAAACGATGCAGACGGCCATTTAATGCAGCTGCACACACACTGTTGATATGGTGCTTAAAGTTACAGTGGCCTTGTGAGACCTGAGATAACAAGGGTGAAGGCAGCCCTATAATCTTGGAGAGAATAGAATCATGGCACAGTCTCGGCACACATCAATTTATTCCACATCAATGGTGGAGACATGGCCCCCAATTTCAAACAAGAATCACAAGTTCAATCAGCCTCGTTACCTTATTGTGGGTCTGTGTTTGTCCGACCACGATGAGGATATTCGATGAGATGATGGAGAAACAGAAATTGATCAAGATAATGGACCTCTCGGATCGGATATACCTGCAGAGAGACAACACGGTTCTGTTATTCGGCTGTGGAGCGACAGGAAAGGGCACTCAGTTCTTAATGGTGTGGTCACAAAAGGGAAACGGATCTGTGTAACCCACCGCTTAACATACGGGGCTCGATTTGGCGGCAAACTCAATACATATCACATTGAATGATGGGCCTCCCACGCACTCAATGGTGACACCCGTGAATCCGAGCTTGCGGTCCGCAAATCCGAGATTTCCAGCTCATGGCCTTTGTGGGCCATCAGATTTTTAAATAATAATAACTGAATAATAATAATAGTCCTTGCATTTGATTGAGCGCCTCATCACATCGTCAAGACGTCTCAAAGCGCTTCACAGAATATATTGTATTTTGTGGGTGAAACACGGCAGCCAATTGCGCACAGCAGCGTCCCACAAACATGCGTGGATTGAGTGGCCAAGTGTCTTTATTTTTGGAGGGATTATTAACCCCATAAAATGATCCGCCAATCGACTAACAATCGGGTTCATACTTACTCAGGGTGTGTGGAGTAAGGAAACTTGCCTAAGATTTTGCCCCGACCGGGAATCGAATCCGCGTCCTCTCGCTTTAATGGCGAGCACGCTAACCAAACTATGGGACTCCACAAACCAAAAACTCAAGAGTAGCTGTTAACTCATCTGAAGTTTAACACCTGGATTTGTGAGCATCACAAATGATGATGTGGGGAGATTTGCACATTCCATGTGATAAAATATCAAATGTACCATTAAATTGACCCTGTTACGCTCATAAGAGAGAAAGGAAGACTGAAAAAGGAGAAAATGAAAGGAAGAAAAAGCAAGGGAAAAAAAGGTAGAGAAATAATAAGCATTTAATTTGATATAGTACCTTATCATCCCATTAAAATGTCTCAAGAGGTACTTCATAGGATTTAATATAAATTACATATTTCTAGGTGAATGTGGCAGCCAATTTGCGCACAGCAATGTCTCACAGTTTTATTTGGGGAATTGTCATCCAGGACACCAGGAGAAACTCCCTTCTCTTTTCGAGTAGTGTAATGGGATCTTTAACATCCATCTGGATAGGACTACAAGACATCGATATTTAATATCTCATCCGAAGGACAGCACCTCCAACAATGCAGTGCTCCACCAGCACTGCACTGGAGTGTCAGCCTTGACGATGAGTCCTGACATGGAATTCGAACCCCAACCTTCTGCTTAAGAGAGGGCTACCAACTGAACCAGGCTGAGACCTGGATACAGAGAGAGACAGAAACAATGAAAGAAAGTGAAAACTGGAATGAAAGAAACAAACTTGAAAATGTATAGCACCTTATCACAGTGAAACATCTCGAAGCACTTCACCAGTGACGACTTTCACCCCCACTGGCTGGTTTTGGGGGCCAACACATCATCCAATTTGCACACAGTAAGGTCCCACAAACAGCGGTGTGGTGAGTGACAGATTAATCTGTCGGCCAGGCACTGATACAATGAGCAAGCACACAGCAACAGGTTGTCGGAAAATCAAAACGGGTTTGCACTTTTTCCTTCTACTTCTGCAGGAGTTCCGACCCTCTGGAACTCCCTCTTTGACCATCTTCAGATCGCACCTGAGGACCTTCCTCTTTTATCGTGTCTACTGTCACCTCCCCTCTCTCCCTAGCACAGTATCAAATGCCACCACTGTTAAGGGTTCTATAGTGACTTGTTCACTCCCTCAGCTCAGCGGACTCTAGCTTGCTCCAGGTCCCCCGCCCTGCCTGCCCCACCGTTGGAGGTTGGACCTTCAGCCTTTCTGCCCAACCCATTGGAACTCCAACCCACAGTCCCTTCCCCTGGCCCCCTCCCTTGCCTACTTCAAGGCATATCTCAAGAACCTCCTCTTCGACAACACCTTTGGTCACCCTCCTACCCTTACCTTTCTGATATCAACCCCTAGCTCCGGTCCAAATCCTTGACTCTCCAGCACTTTGGGACATCCTTCCCACCTGAAAAGCGCTATACAAATGTAATGTGTTGTTGTAGTTGCTGTTGTTCCAAGATGCTACCTGTGTGAAGGGCGCTATATAAATACCAGTTCTTGTTGAATTTGGTGGCAGGATAGAACGACGTTCAGTTGACAGCGGAAACTTCTACTCTAAGCATTGCATTTAACCACAACAGGCTGAGCCATGCTTTGTTTAACTAAATTAGCCTCTTTATGTTTTTTGCTTAATTATCCTAAACGAACCAATTCATTAGTAAGTCGTTTGCCACAGAAGATAGATCAACTGATTATGTAGATGGAACGGTTGGAAAAGAAAATACAGCGGGATTTAACGAGCACAAAATCATCTCATTATAATGAACCTTTTGCCTGACCACAGCACAAGTTGGAGTCCTGTAGCTCAGTGGTTAGAGCACTCGCTTTGCAAGTGAGAGATCTGAGTTCAATTCCAGGCAGGGCGAAACCTTGGGCAAGTTTCCTTACTCCACACGCCTAATAATAATCCCTCCAAAAAACCCAAAACAATAATTAAATTGGTCATTTTCAATCTACGACTGTTTGTGGGACATTGCTGTGCGCAATTGGCTGCCGCGTTCGCCCACAAATATACAGTCAATTCACTTTACAGTGTGTTCTGTGAAGCGCTTTGGGACGTCCTCCTGACGTGAAAAGCGCTATATCAAATGCAAGGATTATTATTATTATTATTATTAAGTTGCACAGCAGTCTCTGGCAAAGAGACAACTGCAATAAGATCCAGGGGCGCTATTTCCTATGCCTCGGGATTCAAAAGGTTGTAGTTTCCTGCCCTTTTCAGGACTTTGATCTCACAGTCTCTGCTGACACTCCAGTGCAGTGCTGGGGGCAGTGGTATATTGCGGGAGGTGTTGCACATACATACACCGCCTACACTTCATCTCCTCAAACGGCTTCTCCTCTAGCCCCCGTTCTGTCTCGTGTGGCGTTCCTCAGGGCTCTGTCCTTCTCCAATATCTATATGTTCCCTCTTGGTGACATCATCCGCAAACATGGGGTCAACTTCCACATGTATGCGATGACACCCAACTTTACCTCTCTGCCTCCACCCTTGACTCCAGGACCACTGCTGTCCTGACAGAATATCTGTCAGACATTAAGTCCTGGATAAGAGCTGACTTTCTTCAGTTGAATGTCAACAAGACCGAGGCTCTCCTGATTGGTTCCCGTCAGCACCTCCTCACCTCAGGCGCTGACACCATCACCATCCATGGTTGCAAACTCCACCTTACTAAGCCAGTCCGGAAACTTGGGGTCTTGTTTGACCCGCAACTATCCTTTCTACTCCACATCCGCACCATGACCCACTTTGCCTTCCCCCACCTCCGCAACGTCGGCCAGCTCCACCACTGTCTCACATCACAGGCCACCGAAGCCCTCATACACGCCTTCATTACATCAAGGCTCGACTATGCAAACTCACCGCTGTTCGGTCTCCCCAACTCCCCCTTCTGCAAGCTGCAAATCAACCAGAACTCTGCAGCCCGTGTCCTCTCCTGCACTAGGCTCCGCGACCCTATCACCCCCATCCTCGCCCAATTCCACTGGCTTCCCATCACACAGAGAATACAGTTCAAGATCCTGGTTCTCACCTTCAAAACCTCCCACATTCTTGCTCCCCCCTACATCTCTGACCTCCTAACCCCCTACCTGTTCGCTCCTTCCTTCAGCGAGCTCCGGCCTACTTCACGTCCCCCGCCTTGCTAGCCCCACTATCAGCGGGCGGGTCTTCCACCACTCTGCACCCACCCCCTGTCTCTCCGTCTCGCCCCCTCCTTTGCCACCTTTAAGACCCACCTCAAAACCCTCCTCTTCAACTGTGCTTTCAATCTCCTGGATTCCCCCCTGCCCTCCAGCCTCCCCCACTCCGACCCTCAGCTCAGGTCCGTAACTCTGTCTATCCAGCACCTTGGGACGTCTTCCCAATGTGAAAGGCACTATACAAATGTAATTTTGCTGTTGTTGTTGTTATCCTTCGATTGAGGTATTCAGCTAAGTCCCATCCACCCGTTTAGATGGACATAAAGGATTCATGGCACCGATCAAAATGAAAAGGGAGTTTCTCTCTCCTAGTGTGCTGGTCAACAATCCCCCTGATAAAATCAATCACTCGCTTCATGGCTGTTTGTGGAACATTGCTATTCTGAAATTGACCTCTGCATTCATCCACAATACACTTTTTCTGAGATATTTAGACATGATAAAAGTGCCACATCAAAAGCACCGGTTATTATTGTATTCCTGTTACTTCCAGTAACCGGTTGCCTGGATCAGTTGGTAGCATTCTCACTGCTGGGTCAGAAGGCTGTGTGTTCAAGCCTTGAATTGGGACTTTGAGCTCACAATGACAATGACATACATATAGACTTTGACATTGTAAGCACATCTCAAGGAACTGGACAGTCTAAGATGATACACAATCATCAGTACTGGGGGAGTGCCGTATTGTCGGAGGTGCTGTCTGTGAGATGTTAAATTAAGGTCCCACCTTTCAGTTCAGGTGGACAATAAATAGAGTATTTGAAAAGAGAAGGGAGTTTCTCCTGAGTTTCAAGGCACAAATTAGTCAATTCACTTAATGGCACCTGTGTACTTGCAAAATGTCTGCCTCATTTATCCCCACACAGTCTCTACTCTCGACTAAATTACTTAAGAAGCTTTTTGACATGATAAGCCTTCTATTGAGTGTGGATCCACTTTGCCGTCCATCAAGAAATACGTTGCAGTACATTGATGTGCAGGACCTCAAACCACTCTGACATTCGTGGAGTCCTGTAGCTCAGTGGTTAGAGCACTCGCTTTGCAAGTGAGAGACCTGAGTTCAATTCCAGGCAGAGGGCGAAACCTTGGGCAAGTTTCCTTACTCCACACAGAGCGTAATAATAATCCCTCCAAAACCAAAAACAAAAATAAATTGGTCATTTTCAATCTACGACTGTTTGTGGGACACTGCTGTGCGCAATTGGCTGCCGCGTTTGCGCACAAATATACAGTCAATTCATTTTACAATGTGTTCTGTGAAGCGCTTTAGGACGTCCTCCCGACGTGAAAAGTGCTATATCAAATGCAAGGATTATTATTATTATTATTATTCCCTGCTTTGGTTAAATTATCTTACAATAAGAGGAGAGAGAGATTCCACTCGGGTCTCGATTTACTTTATAATGTAACATTTTAGGTGCTGCAATAAATGTAAATTGTATTGGAAATAGTGCTGTTATCCCTCACATCAATGAACCCATCGCTAGACATTTTGAATGGACAGCGCAGTGGAATTGTGTTACAATAATCCTCCTCACACCCAACAATGTTCGGGGTTAAAACAAACAGAGATTGTGCAAACCACTGACGTGCAGGGAAAGATGGGGTTTAGTTGGGGGTTGAAAGGAATGGTACCCACCTCCAGAGCACGGCGTAGACCACAGCTAGAGTGATGAGAGCCAAGCAGGACAGCCCACAGCCCACTATCAAGGTGACCGAAGGCATTCCACCGTGCTCCATGCTCTGCAGAATACAAACAAAAGCGAGTTACTTGGCAAGTTAGAAATAACTTTCTCTCTCTAACTCTCTCTCTCTCACTCTCTGCTCAGCAACTTATAATAATAATAACTTGCATTTGATGCTGTGCCTCATCACTTCAATGAGACTTCACAAAGCACTTCACAAAAATACTGTGAAGTGAATTGACTGCGTACATTGTGGGTGAAACGTGGCAGCCAATTGCACACAGTAGTGTCCCATAAACAATCGCGGATTGAGCGACCAATTTTTTTTGTTACTATAGAGAGGGGATCTCATAGAGGTTTTAGGTTTATGAAAGGATTTGATCAGGTGGATTTTGAGGAGCTGTTTCCACTTGCTAGTGAGTCCAAATCAAGAAGAAATAGTATAACAACAATTTATATAGCAACTTTCATGCAGGGTAGCACCTTGGAGCGTTGAGATAGCCAGTGTTAGATCTATCAGGGCATTTAAGAGGAACTATAATCACACAGAGTGTGGTGAGAATGTGGAACTTACTGCTGGAAGCTGTGGTTGAAGCAAAAAAGCATCACCGTATTTAAGAGGAAACTTGATGCGTACATTAGGGGAGAAGTGAATAGGAGAGGGGAATAGGAGGCAGGTGAACAATTATCATCTAGTTTCCCCTTAATTTTCGGTGATGTGATATCCATTGTTAGTGATAATTATCACATCACATTATTACACTGTGTCGCAGGTCGCATTTAGCACTCTCACAGATCTGACAAAAGCCAAATGTACAGCATCCAGTTTGGTTTGTGCAAAAATAAAATGCACGAAAAACCGGGTTGAAAAGAAAATCTCATGTTCCCAATGCTGTTCTTGTCACTGCCTCAACAACAACAAGAACAACGTGAAGTTATAAAGCGCCCTTTACGTAGCATAATGTCTCGAGCATTAGATTCTCTTTTCAACAAGATTGACCAACTAGTCCGGAGGAGTTGTCCTCGGTGCTGAATGACTCCAAGATGATGTGCATGGCAACAGAATGTCAGAATTGTGCCAACACTCTGTGGAAAGTCTTCAGGTGTGATCTGAAGACGGGGCAAGGTGGAAGGATTGAGACAGAGTTCCAGGGGTTCGAGCATCATGGATGAAGGCATGGCCGCTGATGGTGGAGCGGAGGGAACGCGGGCAAGCAGAAGGCCTGAACTGGCTGAGCGAAGGGGACAGGTAGAGGAGTGGGGTGTGAAGACCTTGAAATCGATCTGTTCTGCGACAGGGAGCCAAGGGAGGCTGGCGAGTACTGGGGTGATGAGAGTGTGGAGTTTGGCAAGGACTGGGGTGATGAGAATGTGCAGTTTGGAACGGGTGAGGATACAGGTGGTGAAGTTTTGAATCCTTACAACATAGACATGTTACTTTTAGAATCTCAGATTTCTTTGTCACACAGTTGCCAGCTCTCTCTGATCCCATTCACCTGCCTCCCCGCCCACACTCACAACACAAAAACACACAGTCACTACACTTTCCAGTGTATCATATGAAGCATTTCGAGACGTCCTCCTGACGTGAAACTCGTTGTACCAAATATAAGGATTATTATTATTATCATTTTTTTTTAGTTTTTATATTTAATATTACTATTATTATTCCAAAAAAGGGTCATTCAATACACGACTGTTTGTGGAACACTGCTGAGTGCAATGGTTGCCATGTTTACCCACAAAATACACAGTCAATTCACATTACAATATATTCTGTGAAGCCCTTTGAGACGTCTCAACGATGTGATAAGGCCGGCCATACATGAAATGCAAGGATTATTATTATGGTTGTTGTCCATGCTGGTGCTCTCTCGTGCTCTCATTGAATCATTCAACTCGCTGCTCCTTCCCTATCAAATCCGCACTGGTACTGGCTTCCCCTGGAGCCATCTCCTTTATCCCATTCCTGTAGTATTTCATTGCGCCCTTCAATATTACTTTCCCTCAGGCATTTATCTAATTCCCTTGTAAATGCTTTTATTGACTTGAATTCAACTTGAATTTGTTGTGAGACATTCCATCTTCAATCAACCTGGCGCATTAAAAAAAACACACTCCTGCTTTTCTCCTTCTGGTGGCAATCCTCAATTAATACCCTCCTGTTATTGGCCCTGCCTCCCTCTCGCAATCCAATTTACCCTATATCAATGCCATTGCTGCTTTTGCAAATCTCAGCAAATAGTTTTTATATAAACTTCCTTCATCTGGTCCATCTGTAAACCTTTCACAGTCTTTTAAAAGAACTGAGCTTCCAAATTACGATCCAATCTGTACAATCTTAAATTTCAAGACAAAAATAGCTTCGCCAGGATAAGAGAAGATGGAATTTCAGACCTTAAGGTTGTAGCTGAGGCTTACCATTAAAACACACTTGCTGATGGAAGCTAACATGGAGAAATCTCTCTTCTACCTCTCCGTCTCACCCCCTTCTCTTGTGGTCTTTAAATCCTGTCTTAAAACTAATTCACTGACCTCACTTATTCCTGTCCCTCGCTTGCTCAGCATCTGATCACCATCTCTGTGATGTGGTCCGAGACTTTAACCCAAATGCACCTGAATAAATCTCGTTGAGTTTTTTTGTCAGCCGGAAACCCATCAAGAATATCCAAACCAAATTGAGAGCAGTGGCTGCCATCAACAATGCCCTGGAATACTTCGGACCAGCCTGGCTCAGAAACTGGACTACCGAGACCCCCCCACAGAGGGCTGGCTCGATTCTGACAGTCTATTGCCAAACACGTCACCTTGGAGCCAGTTCAGCATCAAGGAGACCTCGCTTACCTCCCTCCTCAGGAGTATAGTCACCAGTTGGTCAATCTTGTTGAAAAGAGAATCCAATGCTATGTGATGGGCGCTATATAAATTCACACTGTGGTTGTCGTTGTTCTTGCTGCTGTTGTTGAGGCAGTGACAGGAACAATTCTCTGATTGGGAACATGAGATTTTCTTTTGAATGCATTTTGTTCGCGCATTTTATTTTTGCGCAAACCAAACTGGATGCTGTACATTTGGTTTTTGTCAGGTCTGCGAGAGTGCTAAATGCGACCTGCGACACAGTGTAATAATGTGATGTGATAATTATCACCGGCGATGGATGTCACATCACCGAAAATGTAGGGGAAACTAGACAATAATTGTTCACTTGCCTCCTGTTCCCCTCTCCTGTTCCGCACTATTCCCTCCTCCCTTATTAATGCATCCAGTTTTCTCTTAAATATGTTGATGCTTTTTTGCTTCCACCACAGCTCCCCGGCAGTAAGTTCCACATTCTCACCACCCTGTGTGTGAAGCAGTTCCTCCTAAACTCCCTGTTAGATGTACCACTGGCTATTTTAGCACTCCGATACGCTTGCCTGGGTGAAAGGCACTATATAAACGCAAATCATTGTTGTTATCTTATCTTATTCCCTCTTGTTTTGGACTCACTTACATGTGGAAACAGCCCATCAAAATCCACCTGATGAAAACCTTTTCATAACCTAAATATCCTCTATGAGGTCCCCTCTCTATTGTTTCCACGTCTGAGAGAAAAGCTCCAACCGGTCCAAATTTCCCTGATTGCTGTATCCTTGTAAATCTACACTGCACTTTTTCACTCTCTACAATCTTACAATATCATTAATATAATGTGGTGACCAGATACAGATAGATACCAGATACAGTACTGTGGTCTAACCAAGGTACTATATCAATTTAATCTTACTTTCCTGCTCTATTCCTCTGTACATAGAGCCGAATAATTTAAGTTCAGACATGCCGTTTACAGAGACGTAATGCATAATGGACTTGGCATGAATATGACTAAGCTATAGAACCACAGAAATGTACTGCCAAGCGGGATGCCATTCAGCCCATTGTGTCTTCACTAGAGATAAGTTTATTAAAAATTTGTCAATATTAATCAGCTTTAAGTTTACTTTATCAACTCGGACCTTACCCCAGGAGAAAAAAATTATCTCTTTTTCTAACCATAATTACATAAAAACACTCTCACATATAGTGTAGGATAAGAGGTAGGAGGAAGTGATTTCGACACTGGAATCTAATCATTTATTTTTGGTCGCCTGTGTGTCTGACACGTGGAAACCCATCACCGCGGTTTAAGAGTATCCAAACCAAACTGGGAGTTGCACAATGCATGAAAATTTCAGTTTGTTTGGAGTTGAATGAGCTCTCAATCTCTCTTTCTCTCTCTTCCCAGATGAGTACAGACTGCTCCCCTAAACTTAGAAAGTATTTAGGAGCAGGTTGGCAAGAGCCAAGGCTTGGAGACTCCAGTGTGTGTTAAGGGTTCTGCTGGTGTTTAATTAGCCAGAACTGTCTAACCTGCGATAATGAACACTGTCTGGCAAGCTTCCCGTTGCTTGGCTAGCGAGGATGGCCCTCTCTATTAAACCTTTGGTTTGCAGGGTTAAAAGAAGCTGAGCTCATTGGGACATATTCCTGTCCCACCTCCCTAGAAGTTAGTCTGCCCTTCCAAGTCCTACCGCTGAGCCAGACTGACTTGTCGGTCATCAGCAGTGGCCTGGATTACCCTGGACCCACCTGGCTCAGGACCCAAGCTATTGAAACCGCCCCAGAGGATCAACTTGATTCTGATAGTTCCATAATAAAAATCCTTGCATTTGATATAGTGCCTTATCACGTCTTTTGAGACATTTAAAGCGCTTCACAGAATATAATATTAATAATCCTTGCATTTGACATAACGCTTTTCACGTCTTCTCGACGTCTCAAAGTGCTGCACAGAATATACTGCAAAGTGAATTGACTGTATATTTGTGGGCGAACGCGGCAGCCAATTGCACACAGCAGTATCCCACAAACAATCATAGATTGAAAATGACCAATTTATTATTGTTTTGTTTTGGAGGGATTATTATTAGGCTCTGTGTGGAGTAAGGAAACTTGCCCAAGGTTTCGCCCTCTGCCTGGAATTGAACTCAGGTCTCTCGCTTGCAAAGCGAGTGCTCTAACCACTGAGCTACAGGA